GCAGAAGCATTTGGAAAAGTTGTTGGTCGAGTGAGTTTCTTAGTGGGACGGACCGATTTTCGTGTGGGTGGGCTGAGTCGCAACAAATGTCTTTCTCCCAAGAAACCCATCAACCTGCAGACAACATCCCACCTCCCAAGTACCTGCACGCAGTGACACCGCCTCCCAAGGACGCAATCATCACCACAAAGGCAATCGCAAAGAGCAGAACCACCTCGCGAAGAAAGGGGCAAAAAGAACGTGCCCGGATATCCATCACGTGATTCGAGGTCGGCGCGTGAGAGGCGGGGTACCTAGAGTACAAAGCAGAGGGAAACAGAACCCAAACGGCGGCACCGCTACACCAGACGTCAGCTCGCAGCACAGGAACAGAGGCAACGCAGAACGGCAGCCAATCAGAGCTGGGTGAATAGTAAAATTGAGTCTGTATGAATAGTGAAACGTGTCTTGAGCTACAGTAATCGGTGTTAGTGGAAATAATTTTTCTTAATGGGGAGCCTAATGACTGGTCATGGGACCCACAAGCGGCCAAATCCATTGAGATAGCCTAACATTAAACACTAATAGCGCCTTCCTCACTTCAAAGCTCAAGTTTATCGCCTCTTTCGTGTTTCTTCTTCTACTGCCGAAAAAGCCAATAGATCTGACTTCCGCGATCCAAATCCAAAAACCTTCAATCCCCATTTCTGGAAATTTTAGCCTCGTCCTTTATCTCCGTATCGTTGGCGGCCCCCGAGCTCCTGAGGAAATGGACGCGCTCCGGAAGCAAGCCAGCAGGCTAAGGGAGCAGGTTGCCAAGCAACAGCAAGTCAGTCCCTACTCTTCTGTTTTCTCTTTTCCGTTTGCTTCTCGAGAAAATGCTAGGAAGAAAAAATTGCGGGAATGGTTTCTGATAGTAGTTCAAAGTTTGATTATTTTGGTATTGGTTTCTGGCTTTCTGCTGGATTATAGGCTGTGATTAAGCAATTTAGTGCCAGTGGTTACGAGAGCTCGGATTCCCTAGTCATCGATGAGGTTGAGTTGCAGAGGCATCAGCAGCTGGAGAAGCTCTACAGGACGACTCGAGCAGGGAGAGTAAGTTTTGACTTGATAAAAACTCAGGAGAAGCATTTCGGCCCCCTTGAGTATGAATTTATTAAATTGACTTTCTATTTGCCCAGGATTTTCAAAAGGACATCATAAGAGCAGCAGAAGCACTTACTGCCATAGGATATAAACATATTGAAGCAGGTAAATGCTGAATTGCATGACATTATTGTCATATTTGAATGGAAAGTGATGTGGGTTTATGTGGTTGCTGATTTTGGTTGATCTTGGTTCGTTCTATTTGTTCACTTACTAATTGGGTATGATCTTGTTAGTTAGGAACCAAACTGTCTGAGGATTGCTGCAGATATGGAACTGAGAACATTAGTGACACCATGCTAGCTAAAGCTGCAGCTATATATGGTGATGCTCGTAAACATGTGGAGAAGGAGACCGAGGATTTAAATGGCTTACTCGCTGCTCAGGTTAACCCTTTTGAGTTGCTTCCTTACTTGTTCTGTTGATTATGTTTAGCGGATAGTGATCCTTTTATATGTTTGGACTAGATAGGTTGGGAACCTAATTTGGATATTTTTATCTCAGGTTTTGGATCCTCTAAGAGCAATGGTTACTGGTACTCCTTTAGAAGATGCCCGACATCTTGCTCAACGCTATAGTCGAATGAGGCAAGAAGCCGAAGTTCAGGTAACCAACTATCGGGCACTTAAAAGTATTGTTTAGTTACTATGAATTTGCTTATGTCTGTTATTGATACTACCTCTTTTGGCCATCATACATTCATTATTCACCTCAATCATTATTAGCGAAACAGGCTACTGAAGTTTCCAAAAGACAAGCACGAGTTAGGGAATCCCCCATCCCTGAGAACGTTGCAAAGTTGCATGCAGCAGAGGCAAAGATGCAAGAGCTGAAGGCAAACATGGCAGTTCTTGGTAAAGAAGCTTCAGCTGCATTGGCTGCAGTCGAGGCTCAGCAGCAAAGATTGACCTTCCAAAGGCTTGTTTCTTTGGTACCCTTACTTCCCACCACTTCCGTGAAATTTCTTTTGCACCAAATCGTGATATTTTAGAGTTTAATGCATCCGTTTAATTTAGGTTGAAGGGGAAAAGAACTATCACTTGCGACTTGGTGCTATACTCAGTGAAGTTGAAACTGAGGTTAGTCATTTTGGTGCGAGTGCGGGGAGAGCTGAGGGATTCATTTATTCTTATGAAATAATTTTGCAGTTCAAGTCCTGTGGTTAATGGCGTTGTTCTACATGCAGATGATTTCAGACAAACAACAAAGAGAGGCAGCTCCTCCTGTCATTCCATCTACTGTAACTCCGTTAGAAAATGGCTCAGAAAAAACCACGTACTTCCTGGCTGAAGTAAGTTATATACCTTTTCCGGTCTTTTTCAGATGTTGAATTACTGGATTTGTGCATTGTATAAAAGGCGCACATTCAAGTTAACATATTGTGCCTCACAAACAGACTGATGGTAAAAAAACATTCTGATCATTCTCTTGCAGGCAACTCATCCTTTTTACGCAGAATCTGACAAGGAGTTGAGTTTGGCAGTTGGTGACTTCATTGTTGTTCGGAAGGTGATGTTTATTCGTTCTCTGATTTTAAGAAATGGTTTGAGCGTAGGGCAAGCAGTTTAGCTGGCATTGAATTTAGCATTAGACATCCTTTAACTGATGTATTTGGCATCTGAAACATGTGTTAAAGGCTTTGTGGCACTTACACGGAAAAGACTAGTGCTTGTCTAAAGTTTCTTTAACTTTTAAAACTTTTCTTTCACTTGTTGGGAGATCATGATCTTATCAAAACCACAGAGGATATGATCTATTTAGTTGTCAGCTGCGTATTTGGTGGATTAGTATAGGAACACCAGCATACAAATCGAAGTAGTCTGCTGTGAGATATTCTGAAGAGAAATCAATTTTACTTGGTCCTCAATTCTCCGGTGATTGTTTGTCTTCTCAGGTTATGCCATCAGGGTGGTCAGAAGGAGAATGCAAAGGGAAATCGGGGTGGTTCCCATCAGCCTACGTCGAGAGGCGCCAGAGGATTCCAACTGCTAATTAAACCTCCAACTTTCACCCAAATTCTAGAGATTTTCCCAACCATCAGAGGGTCCATCTCTCTAATTCGATCTGTTCTTTGAAAATTTACTTCTTTACCTGCAAAAGTGCATTTTTTACAGGTTTTGTATATTCCTTTGCTGAAACATGGCCCTAGTCGTAGAAAACGTTTCCCGAAAGTGACCGATGTGTTGTCTGTTTGTTTATCCTGAATGTGCTGGAGATGATTCAATTATCAGGATGCAGAAGCTGTGGTTTTTTCAAGTTATGCAGGCTTGTATTCGACGAGATGCCTCTTCAGAGGCTAGGCTGAACTACGAGTCATCTTATCTTTCGGTAATAGAGTCCGTGCCAGCCTAACCAAACATTACATTTCTTCCCAACCGCTGGAAGCTTAAAATTGATGTCCTGAACAAGCTGCAGCAACCCGTCATTCTATGATCATACTATCATAGAAATACTGGCTGGAGGGTCTAAGGTCGGTCGTGCTGTTCCTAGAGTAACTGACCTTAGAGTTTGCCTAACTTCGTTCTGCAAGTCCTTCCTCTACAATTACTACTCTGCCTTGCTCGGCCTTAGTCTCGATGCCAATTGTAGACCCCAACCTTCTAAGCTGAGCTCAAACTTTTTTTTACTAAGAATTAAAGAGCTTTGATCATCGAACGCCAGTTCTTGTCGCCCCCTATGCTTATGCTTGCGAAAATGTTCGGTTAGCTGATTGTAATTCGGAGACTCTCCAAACCTCAATTCAGCATCAAGTGCGCGGAGGGTATTGATATTTGACCATATGGAACTGTGCGTGTCCGCCATGGAAAGAGGATGCAGGAGAGAGCATAGGCAACCCTAGACAACATGTCAACGGGGGACAGTGAAAGTCCGCAGCACGGGACGTTCCAGCGCTCACTGGGCCTTAGAAGGCACGTGCAATGTAACGCAACTAGAAATGACACCACGAAACTAAAGTCTCAAGGTATTGGGAGGTGACACAACGTAGCGAGTGCAGCTGCGGCTCCATCAGTTTCCTATGGAAAGAAAGTTATCAGGGGAGAAAGCAAGCTGCCAAGCAATTAGCAGCAAGTAAATCTCCTCTCCCTAGTTCTCTGTTTGCTTCTCGAGAAAAAAAAAAAAACGCAATGGAGAAAATGCATTGCGCCGGGCGAGAAAGCAAAATTAGTGGGGGCGGCGGCGGTGGTTGTTAGTTGTTACAAAAAAAAAAAGCATCTTTGCTTGCTTGCTGTAGCCATCATCATCGGCGAGAGAGAGGTTGAGTTGCAGAGCGACCAATCAGCTGCTTGTGAAATGATTACCAGAAGACGGAAGGAGGAAAAAAGCAACCGAAACAGATGCGCTAAATATTAAAAACACGAGCTAATGGGTAGTTGATGATTGCACTTTAAAACTCTAATCTACAAACCCACCTCGCCATGCCTCCATGGCCACACAGAGGGTCCATCCCACAGGTTGTAAAGCAGAGCAGAGAGGCAAGAGGTAGTGTTCTGTTCATTCATTCATTTCATTAGGGAAATGGAAAGCAAAAGGAATATAAAAGCTAACTCCCCCAAAAAAGCAGTGGAGCAAACTCCACTGTTGATTACCAAAGGAAAGGGAGAAAGAAAAAGCAGTGTGTACATACACAGACACAGACTCCCCTTTCTTTAATTCTTCTTCCTTTCCATCTCCCTAGCCTTTCCTTTTTCTTCAAAACCCATCCAAAAACTTCAAACACCATACATACCAACAAAAGATTCAGCAGGCAATTGCAGCAGCTTTTCCCCTCCATCCCCCCAAAAAAAGTCAGAAGGAACACACAGAGCAGAGCAGAGCAGAGGGAGAGGACCCCGGTTGATTTACTGACATAGCTAAGGGGAATGAAAGGGATCAACATGAAAGGAAGAGAAATCAAAGGAGCTCCATCCACAGCAGATCTGCTTGTCTGTTTCCCATCCCGAGCCCATCTCACCTTAATGCCCAAACCCATTTGCAGCCCAGCCAGAGGATCCGAACCCAACAAGCAGCGCGGCCACCACCATCGTACTCCCTCCGCCGGCGCCGGAGTAGCAAATTACCAGCACCGGCTGAAGAAGAAAGGCAGCATCGGACGCGGGAGCCCGATGCTGTGGGGGAAGACGAAGCAGCAAATGGGTTCGGGCGATAATTTGGTGTCGGAACCCACTTCTCCTAAGGTGACTTGTGCAGGGCAGATCAAAGTCAGGCACCACCATCACAAGGCCTCCGCCAATTGCAAGAACTGGCAGTCTGTCATGGAGGAGATTGAGAGACTCCACAATCACAGAAAGCAGCAGAGCAACAGATCGTCCGCTTCGACGACGACGACGACGAGTAGTTGGGCGGAGTCTCTTGGGTTCAAGAAGGAAGTCATGCATTTCCTCACTTGTCTTCGGAGCATCCGATTCGATCTCCGCTGCTTCGGATCGTTCCCTCAGTCCGACATCAATTCGGACGACGACGATGAAGACGAAGAGGATGACGAGAATGAAGGCGAGGACGAGATGGTTGTAGAAGATGATGCAATCGATGGAAATGAAGAGGGAGCGGGGACGGCCAGTAGCGAGAATTCGAGAGCTGTGTTTTCGAAATGGTTCATGGTGCTGCAAGAGAATAAGGGGAATGATTGTGAAGATGGAGGGGAGAAGGAGAAGGAAGAGGAGGCCGCTGTTCCGCCCGCGAATGCGCTGCTGCTGATGCGGTGCAGGTCTGCTCCGGCGAAGAGCTGGATGGAGCAGAAACAGGAGGAAGAAGAAGCAGAAGATCAAAAGCAAAAGGAAGAGGAAGGAGGGAAGCAAGAGAAAGCAGAGGAGGGGGCAGAGGAGAAGAGAGGGAAGAATTTGAAGACGTTGATGGAGGAAGAGAGGAAAACAGAGATGGAGAAGCTAATCGTGATGAGATACGACACTGATTTCTACAAAATCTCGTGTGATGTAGCGAAAGAAACATGGGTTGTTGGCGGTGGGATGATGAACATGACGGATCCTTTCTCCAGAAGTCGAAGCTGGAAGAGATGATCGATCTTCTCATCTTCCATCTTCATCACGGTATTGCTAGTCCTCTGCTTAATTTTACCCTCTGCCCTCCTCTGCTTTTTTTTCTTTTCTTCAAATTTCAATACTGCTTCAGCTTTTTTACTTTCTTGGTCTGATTGAATTAACAACCTTTTTGGCTTCCCTCCAAAAAAGTAAGTTTTCTGGGCTTGTGTGGGATGGGAAATCCAACGCTGAATCGAATTTTTTTTTTTTTGGGTTTATGGTTTGTGTATTGGCACCTCTGTACAGGTTTCTCTTTTTTCAGGGGAATTTTTTTTGGGTGCCCCCTTCCTATAGATGTTGGAATTCATCCATGATGAATGAATATGTAAATGTTACTGCTGTGTAACTGTTGTAATGAATATCATCTGCCTGAAAGAAGTTCCTGCATAAAGAGCCTTCCTTTTTGGGTGACCCTCATTAAGAACAAACCTAAACTTGAGGTGATGATTAAAGGAAACCAGAGAAGCAAATGAAGAGTTCTGATTGAAATTGAAATAAAAATTGAGGGTATACTTTACAGAAAAGCTCCGAGGAGCTAGGGTTTAGACTTTAGAGGAAGAAGAAGATAAGGCGGTATTCATAGCAGAATAAACAAAGGATCAAGTTCCTGGGACCTCCTACAGTAACTTGGGTATAATTTCAAGTTAGATAACTTGTATAAATCTAAACCGTTAAAATCGATCAAACTTAATGTAAACCATTGATTAAAGAAATAAAAAATAAAAAAAATAAGTAAAGAAGCAACGGCAACAATGGTTGCCGGTCACCACATCCTCAATTTACCTATTTTATTTTTTTCTTTCCTTTTTCACAATTGGTTGGTTTCCTTATTTTATCCTTTCCTTTTATTAATTTTTATGGAATTAGAAGCGTTACGTAAGACTTCCGTAATAACTTAGCTCTTTACGTAACAGGACGCTAATACTCATTACGTAAAGAGACCTTCCATTACGTAAGGCTTCCGTAATGACATTTTACAACCGTTACGTAAAATACACATTCATTACGTAAAGGTTACGAAACCATAGTTATTTCTTACGTAACGGTTAAATCAGAAGTGTTACGTAAGGCTTCCGTAATGACTTAGCACTTTAAGTAACACGTGGTTAATACTCATTACGTAAAAAGACATTCCATTACGTAAAGATTACGGAACGACAGTTATTTCTTACGTAACAGTTAAATCAGTAGTGTTACGTAAGGCTTCCGTAATGACTTAGCATTTTACGTAACGCGAGATTAATAGCCATTACGTAAAGACACATTCTATTACGTAAGGCTTCCGTAATGATCTTTTACAACTGTTACGTAAGATTACCATATGTTACGTAAGCATTACGTAATACCTATTGTATTTTAGGTAATGCGACCTGTGAAACCTGCTATAGCAGGTAAAAAAATTCAAGTTACCTTACTTCAAGTTATTGTAGGAAATCTCAAAGTTCCTATGCTGTGCTGTTTGTATATTAGGAAGTAGAGTGACGTAGAAAACAAACAGTAAAATTGGAATCCGTTAAACTGTAATATAAAAGGACAGTAAATAGAGGGAGCCACTTGTCTTCACTTCATTGGTTGTTGTTGGTTACTACTAACCACTAGAAAAAATGGCCGCTGCTACGCCGCGGGGACTTAAGGTGTCATGACATTCACACTACATAACCACAATATAGCAACACCTTAGAAACTTAATAGCATTTTGCATCGTCTCTGAAAAAAGACAGTTCACGAATAATTTTCCCTGTATGAGGAAAGACATAAAGTTGTCATGGCATTCACACTACATAAGCACAATATAGCAACACCTTAGAAACTTAATAGCATTTTGCATGGTCTCTGAAAAAAGACAGTTCACAACATTCATATTACATGAGCATGATAATTTAGATACTTCAAGAGTACTAATACACAAACCAAACATAATATGCAGGTGAAATAAGTTTCCAACCTGCGACACCATTGGATGCTTCCAAAACACGATTGAGGCCCTTACATGTACCAATCAGATAAGCATATAAGAGTGGTTCAAATGCAGCAAGAAATGAAATGCAACTTCTACAGGGCAGCACCATTAGGACATCAGAAGTTTGAATCGCAGTAGCAGCTGGATGCAATGGCGAAGGCGAGTGGGTCCCAGAGGGTGATGACCTCAAAAGCTGACCCCGACATATATGTGCGCACGGTAGTTCCAATTTTAGTAGTGAAGACCTTTCCCACGACAGATTGCAACCATGCATTTGCTGCGGTTTCATCAAGTGCTGTATATTCTCTAGCAGCTTTTTGCAGCAGTGACGAAGCAACATCATTGTCGAATAGGAGAACGCAGGAGGTGGAGATGTCCTTGCATTCCACTTTCATTCGAAACCTGTTAAGAAGGTGGCTTCAGTATGGTTATGGATTCGTTTTATGGTGATGAGGCACCCAACAGTAGGCTGTTAAATTAAGTGTCAAGAAAGTGTTAGAAGCTATAATTAAATTGCATATATTCAAATCCAATTACATAGCGTTTTCTCGTAAGCTGTGTGCCGAGCAGAGTGGTTTTCTGGCAGTCGTCAGATTAAACAGAGTTGTGTGTGGCAGGCTGTATTGGACATACTTAGGGCGATGTTCGGGTGAGTGACCAATGGCTACATGGCGGTGTTCATGTGAGAACCTACATACATAATTGTACATGTGAGTGCACAGGGAAACCTTCAATTGCATGTAGGTAGTTAGCGCTTGATGTCTCTTTTGTCTAACGATAGAGAACATTAATTGTGGGAAGCAGAGGTTCACTCACATTTCTCTAAGGCGGCTGAATCGATGAGAGCAACACCATGGATGATTCGTGTTCCAACTGTGTTTACCAAGTAAAAATCGTCTGAATCTGTTTGACAGCAGAGGGCAGTTCACTTTTTATGGTTCAGCTGCACATGACAAAGTGTGACAATACTGTATTCGGAATAGGTTACCTTGCGAGAACAACCATCATACTTGTGAAAGCTACAAGGATTGGTCCACTCCTCTCTGCTGCAATAATGGAGGCCTGCGACAAAGCATATGTTGAGGAAGCAATGAGATATGAGTAAAAATACAACACGATCTTTGCAGGTAAATCACAAAATAGAAAGAAGATAGGGAGGTTTGTCGATCAATAGCTGATTCGAGGGTAACTGGGTAAGAGGGCTTATTTTGCTATGAGATAGACAACCATGTTCTACACGTCCGATGAATCAATCCATCATGTTTACCATCTGAATGAGAAGTGCTCCTTGCACTTTCGATGCTCTCCGTTGGTGCTTATCCGATTATATTTCTTATTACGTTTTGTTCTGTGATACGTGAACATTGTTGTGAATGATGTGCTTCAAGATTTCACTACCTATTCCTTTGTAATGTGATAATAGGTCAACATTGCACATAGCAGAAAATCCAGTGTTCCATGAAAGGACTAAACACATAGAGATTGATTACCATGTGACGAGGAGAAGACTGGAATCTGGTTTGATTAAGTTGCATCATGTAAGAACAAATGATCATGTTATAGATTTGTTTACCAAACGAATGAGCAGATATTGATTGAAGTTTCTGTTGGACAAGCTAGGAGTTTATAATATATACTCGCCAGCTTGTGGTGGGTCACAGGAAGAACAAGAAGAATGAAGCTCTCCTGCATCATCCATGGCTGTAAAGAAGACGAAGAACAAAATACCATGCGGAAACGAAATATTTTTGCCTTCCCTTCCACCTAGCTGAAGCGACTATCAAAACGGCGACAGGGAGACTTTTACTTATTATCTTATATGTAAAAGATAGCTACGCTTTATTGCCACAAACCACCAACTACTGTTTCAATATTTGTCGTCTACTGCAAAAAGCCCTTTGGGTCTCTCTACCATCTCCCCACAATGGTCTGCTTCCTTCGCCTGGCCCCGGTGGAATCAGACTCAACTCATTTCGTACGCGGAATCCATACTACCTTGCCGTAAAGTCCGCAAATGCAGCTCTCCCTGCTGTCCTCTCTTTCGTCGGCGCCGAACTCACCTCATCTCTCCACCAGAGAACCATGCTTTTATGGTAAGCACGCTACCCCGTTTTCCCTCTACACGCTACCCCTGCCAATTGTGAGTCTGTGCCTTTGCCCCTCTCGATTTCTGGTGGTACGACCTAAGATTTGCACCCTCCGAATTCTCTCTAAATCTACTCTCGCCTTCCTCTTTCTCCACTTCCGCCAGCTTTCTCCCACAAATCTCGGTCTTCTCCCACAGTCGCTTTGCATCGTCCCCACTTCTCGCGAGAACTGTTCTCACCGGTCGATTCCTCCACACCGCAACCTCCGGGTCTACCTCTATGAAGCACGTCGTCCTTTCAAAACTCACATGGAACGACAAAGCTCCGACCTTGAAATTGCGCCTTCTCTATACATGGAAGGCTGGGAATCCGGCCCGTCCCGACGGGTTCTTCGAATTCTCGACACTGTGGACCGATGAACTGGTGAGTCTTCCATCCTACCTAACCTCTCGCCGGTGGTTATACTGTTTAGTTCCAATTCTGATTTCCAGTTCCTTTCCTAGGGTGTCCTGGTCCAAGGGATTTCGCTGAAGCAACTGGCCAGCCATTTGCAAGAGATTTTACACGTTGGAAAGGTCTACTTCGTAGAACAGTTTGCTCAACGTGAATCCAGGAGGCGCCGGGCACCTTGCTCCAATGACCGCCTCCTGTACTTTAATTCCAATACTTCCTTCACAACCTCGCCTGAAGATGATCCCACCTTCTGTCGTGATAGCTTTGAGTTCCGCAGCTTCGAGGACCTCGAAGACATCGCTTCCAGGCATGTCTGTTTAGTTGGTTTGTCTCCCATCCTTAGTTTTATGTTTACATTGATTTTTGTAGAGCCTGCTGACCATAGCGACCCTTCTTAGATGTTGTTGGCCGTCTGGTATTGGTGACACCCATCACCTATTTCCAGAAACAGGAACGTTCCATCAAACGCCAAAAGGTTGTCATTGAAGATGAACGGTGGGTTCTGTCTCGACTTCTTTACCTCTTCTGAATTGTTTTTAGTAAATGATGCTTCTTTATTACTTCCAGCAAGGCATCCCTGTCAATCACGCTTAGGTCTGAATTTGCCGAAAAGCTGAACGTGGCTCACCTCATGGAGCTGGATGGGGCCGCACCAGTGATTATTGCATTCACCAGTCTTAGCCTTTCGATTTGGCGTGGTAAGTTTCCAATGTTCTTCATTTGTTTGCTCTTAACAGAACCCCAATAGTTCAACTTCCAATAATTAGCACAAACTGCCTGGGAATAGAAGAAAGTGGCAACAGCTGGTTCGTTGTGTGTGTTTTGGCGGTTTTTAGCCCTCCTGACAACAGTAACCTAGGCCCTCAGTTGACCTGAACTGTGCATTTTAGTGGACTCCAATATAATGTTGTGTCCAGGAACTTTAAACCTCAAATCATGACCACCGTCTGTCTTTGCTTCAGACCTTCTCATCCTCTCTCGAAGTATAGAGACCTCCGTGGACCTGCTTCGAAGTTAATAGTTCAGGGAGTTATTCATACTTCCATTAACCTTTCTGTTTCCTGTAACTCTACGCTTGCCTGTGTCTGTCCGTTCACCAGGCTCCACGATTATATACTCTCCAGTGATTATGAAACTCAGTTAGCTGTTCTGTAAATTCATTACAGTTCACATAGTTGTTTCTTTGATTTCATATCCCGACTATACGTGCATTCTTCGATAAGGCCATTCCAAACTTCCTCACTTTCGCTTGCCTTAGTTTATGGTTCCTTCCTGCAATCTGTATTACCTGCTAACTTTTACTACTGCGGCTTTCTCTACAGGTAATGTTGGAGCGTCCAATACTACCGCAACTCGCATTGTCATGTCGCCCGCAGTCCCACAGTGTGCGGCCCTCACGGTCCAGTACGTATTCCAACATGCATATTTGTATTCGTTCTCGATTACTTGCTTGCATTGCAAGCGCGACTAACCTTTTCCCCAATGCAGTTTTGGCGATGTTGTTCCCGCTATTGGAATCTTGCCAGCTGAATGCGACACCCCTGAAAAGGTGGTGACCGTATACCGCGAGTCATTTAGGATGATAACCGAGCTTCAGGCTGTTCGTTCCACTGCTACACTGGTTTGTTTTTCCTACGCAGATCGCCTTGGGATGCTCATCATGAGTTATCACTCGCAGATGTCGTTGGTCGTTTGTTGAGTGTTTCTGAAGAGGAAACATGCCCTTATAGGATGCCGACTATCTCTGCAGTACTAGAGGATTGTGGGTGGGTTCTTATTTTCACTTCTAACTATCTTTGTCATTTCTTGAGTTAATAGCACAATTGACATAATAGAAACAAGGACTTTCATTGTTTGTTAATATTGAATTTATGTTGGCAACTTTACTACTGCATCATTACGATGGTTTAGTTTCTCTAACTAGTGGGTAGATAATATATTAGAAAATGACTCTATTGTGATTGATCCTATCCTGTAGCGGGAACACCATACTGGTCAAGTATGCATCGCTGGATCATGCTTTGTCGCAGGCCTCCATTATTGCAGCAGAGAGGAGTGGACCAATCCTTGTAGCTTTCACAAGTATGATGGTTGTTCTCTCGGAAGGTAACCTATTCCGAATACAGTATTGTCACATGACAGTTTTTTACCCGCCCGTTGGGCGTTGCATTTTGTTTGGTTGGTTTATTTTGCGTTGTTTTACAATCTTCTTTCTTATTGGTTTTTGGTTTATGTAATAGTGTTTTTTTCTTTTGCATTATATGTCTATTTTGTTTGAACTGACGATATAAAGATGTTTACTATAAGTATATGATTTGTGTAGAAACATGATGTATAGCCTATTTCTGTAATGACACGTTAAATATGAGAGACATTATCATTAACTTTTGTTTCCACATTTTTCATGGATTGTACATGTGTTTTTTACGTTAATCTCACTTGGATGGTTTTTGCTACTGTTTCACTCTTTTGAATTTTTCATTTGTTGATGAAGAACTTAATTTGATTTGATTAGCTCTTTGTAGACATTTTTTTTATTTACTTAGAATTTTACATAGAACCATACATTTAAGATTTAAGTATTTATAGTTAAAATTATGATGTATGGTTTAAATCACATGAGAGATTAATCAATTTTTATCACAAAATTCTGACCAAGTTGTTAATATATTTAAAGGACACTAAATAAGATGCTAAATTAAGTTAAGTTAAATTACATGTGAAGTATCAAAATACTGGTACCACCATTTTCTTTAAATATAATACGATCCCTCAAAGGTTGAAATGTTAGTATAGGATAGTAGAAAATATCACGATCTATATCCCACAAACATTGTGCAATTTTGAAAGAGCAAGAAACTATATTGTCATCTACATCATGAATCTTCCTTTTACTCATTTTTTCTATTTTGAAAATGTTTTAGCAAAATCAACCACAAATACGACAATTAGTTCACATGATGTATTTACTTGAGCGACTTTCATGCAAATCTTAATTATAAATTCATGTTATTTTTCTGAGGTGCCTCATATTTATTTTGCATACTTTCATGCAGAATATATTTGTAAGAACATATATTATTTTGTTTAGCATAATAATACAGAGAATTGTGCCAAAAATCAAATTAAATATATGTATCTCAACTATATCGAGCCGGTTTATTAAAAAAACTTCATCAAGTATGATTTCAAATATTTGTTACGCTAAATATTCAATTGATTTGGTCATGGCTTTATAGATGTCCGACCCTTTGTTTCAAGCACTAATTTTTATTGGATGTATAAATTTTTTTTTAGGTTAGTAGCTTTTAGTGCCTTAAATCTTAATAGGAGGTGGTTGGTAATTGGCAATATGAATCTTGGGTTGGTTGTTGAAAATGTATTAAAACAAAATTCTTTAACCATAATGGCACATGATGCTATTCTTAGATGACAATCAATTGCCATTAACCACAAAAGATAATTAACGCCAGAATTGGGAAAACATAAAAGTAAGAAACGGAGGGATTTATTCGTGGTTGAAAAAAACAATTAATACACAGGATGACATGAGGGACAAAAAGAAGGAATCATTTTGAATCTTCTCCCTTAAGCACCCAACAAAACCGGCCAGCTACTCTGTTTGAAGGGAAGTAAACAGGGGAATCCATTCACCGCAGGAGATGATCCCGCCCTGCTTCTCCGGTCCACCATCTCAAGAGCTCGTTCAATTTACATTGTCTTGGGCAGTTGGGCTTGGTTGGGTTTAATGAAATTAAGAGCTTTGTTGGAAATCTCGTTCAGCCCTTCTAAGCTTAACCGAGTAAATGAAAGTCCAGTAACCAAATAAGTTCACAAAACCCATAAACACAATTCCATTGTACAGCTGTGTGTTTTTCGATCAAGCTTTGTTTTCTTTTCCTTGCCTTCAACTTCGTACTATTTCTGTTCTTGTATAAGAAATCCAGGTTTCCAATGTAGTCCTCTATATATAGTGGCTTCAATCAGTGAATTGAGACCTAACTCACTTGCTAGACTCAATCAACACTAACACTAATTTGTCTTCCCTCTTGGATTTTCCTTTCTCTACCAGAACGCTTCCCCTACATATCAGAAATTAAGTATACAGCAAGAGCAACACCAGTAAAAATCCATAACGCCAGTATGCCACCTCTACAACCCTATTTCGTCACACTCAAGATTCTTCCGTCTCATTTCGTCCCCGCTGCCGGTGACAACTCGAGAGCTTCCTCATCGTCGTCTTCGTTAATCAACGTGACGCCGGGATGGATGTACAATGGGTCGGATGGATAGGAGAAACATAGAAAGAGGTTCAAGGTGTGAGAATCTGATTAAATGTTGACACCTCCGTAGCTGGTGGCTGCTTTCTGTACGTATCCACTACCACTTGCAGCCGCCATTGAAAAACCTGAGATACAACTGTACTTGGGAAGAAAGAGCGGAAGAAAATAAGAACTACTTGATTTCGGCAGCTCATATCATATTAGATTCTTGGACAAAAGCAAAAACAGGAGGTATGGTATACAAAGGAAGAAAACAGAATGGAATGAGTTAAGTAGCCAACCGAGAAGGGAGGCGAAGCGAACCAAGGTACTAAATTTGAGAAAGAAAAAAAAAATTCATTCGTTGATGGGTGGGAGGCCCTGAGAGCTGGCCATGGGCTGACGTGGCACTCTATTTGTTTTGAATCTCTATAATATTAAGTAAGGATAAGGATTTTTTGAGAAAAAGAAAACTTTTCAAATGAAATGCATATTTTTATTTCATTTTCCTCTATGGTATTGAATTCTACAGGGCATAGCATATGATATATCCGACGAAAAGCCCTTCCCAAGTCTAGGCTAAATCCAACAATCAATGATCTAATTCCTTCATCTATACCTATATCCATTCAGAAATTGAGAAACTCCTAACCCAACCTAACCAAAAGCTTTACCTACATCATCGCCTCACCCATTTAGCGTTGCTAACCTACTCGGCCGTCATGTGCAACGCAACCAAGGACGCATAAGCCCCGCCATTTATCTTCATCAACTCCTCATGCCTCCCTTTCTCCACAATCACCCCATTCTTCACCACCGCTATCACATCCGCATTCTTTATCGTCGCCAGCCGGTGAGCCACCACCACCGTCGTCCTGTCCACCATCACATTGTCCAACGCGTCCTGCACGACGCGCTCCGACTCCGCGTCCAGGGCGCTCGTCGCCTCGTCCAGCAGAAGCACCCTCGGGTTCTTCAGCACCGCCCGAGCTATCGCTATCCTCTGTTTCTGCCCACCGGATAGCTGCGTCCCACGCTCCCCGACGTTGGTGTCGTAGCCGTGCGGCAGCGAGCTGATGAAGGTACTGGCGTTGGCGGCCTGGGCCGCCGCCAGGATCTCTTCCTCGCTGGCCCCCTCGTGGTTCCCATAGGCTATGTTTGCTCGGATGGTGTCGTTGAAGAGAATTGGTTCCTGTCCGACTAGACCCATCTGTTGTCTTAGCCATGTCAACTTCAGCTGCTTGAGGTCGACGTTATCCAACAACACGGTGCCTGAATCGGGGTCGTAGAATCTCTCTATTAAGCTGATTACTGTTGATTTCCCGCTACCGCTTTCTCCGACTAGAGCCACCGTCTGCAGAACCAGAAAAACAGAGTTAGTACCTAAATTAACTGTCCCATTGAGTTAGTACCTAAACAGAGTTATATCATAATGCGTTACCTTTCCAGAAGGGATGGTGAGGCACAAGTCCTTGAAGATCTGGACGTTCGGTCTCATTGGGTAGTGGAAGCTGACATTTTGAAGCTGGATTTCTCCAGTCACATTCGGCAGAGTGGTTCCTTCGTCTACACTGGAATCGATCTTGGACTTCCTGTCCAGAATCGAGAATATTGAAGCTGTGGAATCCTTGGCCTTTCTGGAGTCAGGAGCCATGCCACTGGATTGTGAAATCCCAACTGCAGCAATCGTCAGCGCAAAGAAAACCTGCAAGTAAATAAACAAAGGGCCATTAAACGGTTAGTACTTAGTGTCATTTATTTGCTTGATGTCTGATGGTGATGCTTTAGCCGTCGTTTTCTTCCTACCCTGAAAACGTCCTGGAAAGTGGCCTTATCTTTCTTGACGAGGACTGCTCCTAGGTAGAAAATGAGTGCGTTGATGCAATTCAGCATCAAGAACGAGAATCCGAACCCGCAGCCGCTCGTAACCCCAGCGCGTACAGCGTTGTCGATGGGGCTCTTGCATTTCTCTCGGTACAAATCCATCACCTTATTCTCTGCACAGAAGGAGGCCACTGTTCTGATCCCTCCGACGGCATCGTTTGCCACTTGACTTGCTTCCTCGTACATTTTCTGCATTTTCCAAATTTCGTTATATTTTCATTATGCCTTTGATTAGTCCTTTCAAGGAGGGCCGTAACTTTTGACATTGTTATTAAATTGACTTTCAGGTGGCTTACCTTTCCATCTTTGCTAAAACCCTTCATGAACCTGGCCTGTGCTAAACCTTGGATGATCATCAATGGTGAACAAGCGATCACTATCAATGCCAGAATCCAGTTGGCGGAGAATGCTATAATCAAGGCTGCTACGATTGTTGAGGCGTTCTGTACTAGTAAGCCAAGAGCATCTCCCACGAGGCTGCGAACGGCAGCAGCATCTGTTGATAATCTTGAGCCAACTGCGCCACTGCACCACCAAAGAACATCAATATATA